CCCACCAGCATGCACTTAAGAAGGGCACTTTTTAAGTGTGAGTTTTGCACTGTGGGTTATAGTATGTTGCTGACAGAGTTTCACAGCTAACCTGTCACTGCCCTCCAGCACCTCCTCCTCCTCCTGGCTGAACGTGTCCCTCCGCCAGAGCCATCGCCTCCTCCCTGCCCTATGCCCACCCCCTAAGAGAGCGTATTTCCTACTGAATACCATTTCTCACATTCTTCATTTCCGATGTCTTTGGGCCTCTGGTATTCTTTGCTCATGAATAGGGAGGGTAAGTTTCATCGAGATCGCGAAATTCCCCAAAGCATTGGATGGGTTCAGTGCAGGCCCTATTTGATTATCCATGGCATTTTCAAAGAACTAGATCAGACCCTCCTGAAATGCATATGGAATAATAAGCTCTAGCAAATAGCCGAAGCAATCGTTTGGGGGGGGGGGCTGTATAAAAGATAGGAGGTATTCCTTTCAACTTCAAACCGCACTCAAGTGGTAATAAATAAAACAGCATGGTGCTGGAACAAAGACGTACCCTCAGCTCAGTGGAATAGAGTAGAACCTCCTGAGATAGACCCTCTTGGATGTGATCAGTTCATCTTTGTTAGAGCAGCAAAAATATGCAGTGGAGCCAGAACAGCCTTTTCAAGAAGTGCTGCTAGAAGAAACTGGTTGGCTTTACGCGAAGAATGAATGCAGGCATCTCTCTTATGCTGTGAACTTTTAAAAGCTAATTCAAAATGGATTAGAGACCTTGATATCATACCTGAATCCGTAAGGTACATGGAGGAGCATGTAGACAAAGCTCTCCATGATATTAAAGGTAAAGGCTGCTTCAAGGATTAAATACCACCACTGACTCTCTGTCACTGTCACTGTCCTCCCATTGTTCATCGATTTGCTCAAGCGGGCCCAGTAACATCTCCATTTTGAGACTTGTTGTTACTGTGTTTGGAACATTAAATACATCACGGGTAGCTTGCCAGGCTTTGCCGTGTGGGTGAGATATTCTCAGTAGCTTGCCGGGCTCTCCGAGAGGGGTGTAGGAATCGAACCCAGGTCGGCAGGGCTGGCTGCATGCAAGGCAAATGCCCTACCACAGTGCTATCGCTCCAGCCCATCACTGACTAAGCAAGTGGAAATAGTGATAAACACATGGATTACATAAAATTAAGAAGCTTTGCATATCAAAGAAAATGATGATCAGGATACAAAGACAGCTGATAGAATGGGGGAAATTGTTTACCCAACATTTATCTGATAAGGGGTTAATATCAAAGAATATATAAGGCTTGGTAGAACTTTAGAAGAAAAAACATCCAACCCCATCAGAAAATGGGGAGAAGAGATGAACAGGAACTTCTTTAAAGAAGAAATACAAAGGTCCAAAAGGCACATGAAGAAATGCTCTGCATTAAAAGAGGATGCAGATCAAAGCAATAATGAGATACCTACAGAGACTACACTGCAGAGACTGGCACGCGTCAAAAAGAACAGAACCACCACCAGTTGATGGAGGGAGAAAGAGACCCTCATTCACTCACGGCTGGTGGGAAAGCCAGCTGACCCAGCCTTTCTGGAAAACAATATTGGCATTCCTACAAGATTCTGGGAATCGAGTCTCCATTTAATCCCGATTTCTCAGAATATACCCCAAGGGCCCAAAAAACAAAATGGAGAAAGGACATTTGTACCCCTATGTTCTTTGCAGCACTATCCACAATAGTCAGAATCTGGAAACAACCCCAGAGTTCATGAATAGATGTTTGGATAAAGAAATGATGGTACATATACACAATGGAATATTATCGGCCATAAGAAAAGATAAAGTCATGCAATTTGCTGCTTCATGGAGGACCTGAAGAGTGTCATGAGTACCGTGCTTAGTGAACTTGAGGAGAGAGGCCAGCACAGAGTGGCCTGTCCATGTATAGGGCGTAAGGAAACACAGTAGGGGCTTAAAGTCTACTTTTACCTTTCCCTTCCCCTCCAGACTTCCTTTCCCTTCCCTTCCTGGAATCACTCCTTATTCCCTGTATTCTCGATCCCTGGCCCTGGTCACATGATTTCAACACTCTCTGTTGGGAATTGGCCCCTTTCTCCATTTGTCTCTCATGTCATTAATCTTAAGCTTCTCGGTGGCAGCAGAGGAGTGGGGGACACTTCTTCCACTAGCACCTCCTGCCGTAGTGTCCAGGGACATCTGGGAAATGTTCTTTAGCCTTGGGGAGTCATGTTTCTCTTGTGTGTAGAGGACACTCTGAAACGTAATGAATTACTCTTTTCTTCAGTAGATAGGTGAGAGGTTGTTCATTCTCTTTGCCTCAAGTTTGCTTCTTAGGTGACATCCATAGGAAGGCCTAATGGTTAGTTGTTTGTATTAATTCAGTTTTTCAAGAATACAATGTGTTGAAGCTTTTGCTCAGTGGATGCAGATGCAGTTAGCTGGCATCCCTGGCACTGATGGCCTGCTCTGTGGGAAGCGTACCGTTTGGGGTGTGTTCTGGTACGGGCCTCAGTGGCATCAGCCCAGGGGCCTCACCTGGCCAGTCGAGTCAGTCGTACCACGCTGCCAGAGACAAGCTGCCCTTGCTCCAGTGCCCAATTTCTTTGATTTTTAAACCAGTTAACCTAGTAGTAATGTCCACCATCCTTGTCTTGTCTCAGGGACATTTAATTAAGGACTTGAATATAATATAGTGTGCTCACTGGAAAGGGGAAGTGATCAAACTCAAAGGTATTACTATTATTCAATTCCCTTCTGCTACTGTATCATCAAGAATAAATTAATTTTAGAAATTATAGCTTCTTCTTTGGACATCTATTCCTGCTTAACTAGTATAATTGACTTTAGCCTCAGCCTTACAAGTTATCTCAATTTACATAATAATAGCAATTTAATGGGAAATGATGAAAAATAACTTGGCGATGGTTTTTATTTGCTGTTTTTTCTTTAAAACATAAATCTTGAATGGAGTTAATTAAAATTCCCCATTTTCAGTGAATGTTATGTCTCTGAAATAAATAATAAATAATATTGTCACAGTTGGCGGCCTCTAATTTTATTCAAAATAAATACATTTGGTGACATACATTTGAGGAGTGTGATTCTTGTACTGTACATGGAAGTAAGGAACAACTTTACAGATGATAGAGATTTTTACCATCTGCTAGAAATAAAGGACATAGCTTGGGAGAGGAGGTCATTACTGGTTTAAGGTATATATTGGGAGAGCAGAAATCAGAATTCCCTCCCACCAAGGAGTTGACCCGATTTGCAGCACGTCAGAAGCTTTTGCTTCTAAAGCCTGTAGCATGATCTTTGCATCATTTGACTAGCAGAGAAGAAAAGGGGCTAGTTTTAATGGCCAGAGAGCTAGAGACAGGTGCTCGCTGGCGTGGTGAGAGCCTGTACTGATTTTGCTGTTCACGGGACGGTGCACTTGCTGTGAGGCGATACTGTCTGTATGGATGGAAATACGGTTGTCGGCAGGAGAGTTCAAAGTGACATCTGGGGAGAAGTGGGATAGCCAGTCCTGAATTTCTCTTCTAATGACATTTGCCTTTAGCAGATGCTACTTTAGCTTGCTTGCCGGACAGGACAGGATGGGGGTGGGTTTATGATTCTAGTTAAGGATGAAAGCGGGTTGTCAATAGGTCGGGCTGAATTAGATAAGGCTGAGGTTAGAAGGCTGCCACCAGGAAGAGAGTCTACGGAAGGCATTCAGAAAGCGTTGTCCCTTTTGCTGAATCTCTCAAGAGCAAGGCCGGTATTTGTTTAGGGTTCTCCTCAGTGGTGCTGGGGGGCTGCTGCGGTCCCACCTGGCAGGGGTCTGGAGGACATGTGTGGTCAGGGTGCCCACAGCATGCTCCCATCCTTTGAGCCGTCTCCCCACTCCTGATGATTTTCAATCACTCTGATTGCACCTGATGATGCAGAGGGAATCACGTGATCCAAGCGTCTTGGCGGCATAGAAGAGCTAGTGAGTTTCCAGTGGACAGTGTGTGCAGATGACACAGGTTGGGGGTGTCAGTGGACTGTTCCCCCTTTGGAGGGATGCGGAGCCCTGCATCTTGCCAGGCCATCCTGAATCAGCCCTTCCAAAGTGGGCGATACTGCTCCCTTCCTAGCAGGAGCCCAGCATGATGGAGGAGTGGGGAGGGGGTCAATCAGGTACCTTTGGGAAAGCGGCTTTTCTCTGTTTTCTTAAAGAAGTGAGTTTTTTTTTAAATTTCTTTTTTATTGAATCACTGTGAGATAGTTATAAGCTTTCATGTTTGGGTTACAATCACACAGTGATCAAACACCCGTCCCTCCACCAGTGCACATTCTTCACCACCAATATCCCCGGTATACCCCCCCTTACCCCACCCTCCCCCTGCCTCCATCGCAGACAATATTCCCCATACTCTCTCTACTTTGGGACACGATGAGAGTTTTTATTTTTTATTAGTGAAACACCATGAGGTACAGTTGTAGACTTACAAACTTCCGTGCTTGGCTTTCAATTAGACAATGATTGAGTACCCATCCCTCCACCACGGGCATTATGAGATTTTTAAGGGGCCCGGAGTGATGTTTTTTTCCTGAAAATGGGGAGTGGTGTCAAATAAGTTTGGGAAGTGCTGCTAAAGCTTCCCTGGCCTGGGACTGAGGCGAGTGTATGAAAAAGGAGCAGCTTTCAGGAGTGACCCTTAACTGGTAATGACTTTGGGCCACTATCTGCCTTTATGATTTTGGCTTTTATTCTAGGGCCTTTGTCTAAGACATTTAAGGCATGTTTTGGAACAGAGTCCAGAGATTTGTTCTCACTACTGCTTTTCATATGCTCTGCCGCTGGATTCCTTCCTGTCACTGGGCCCCTCTGGATCTTGTTCCCCCCGAGCCTGTCCTTGTCCCCTTGGTCTTTGGGAAAGACTGAAAAACTCTCACACTGGGATCTGCAGGTAGAGCAAGTTTAAAGTGTTTTCCCTTTTTTTGGTGTCTGCATTTCTTACAGGGGTGAAGACATCTTAAACCAGAGGAATGACTCTCTCCTTGTGGAATTTCAGTCATCAGCCAGCAGATGCAGGAGGTATTATTTGGGTTCTGGGGCCTTTGCAGTAGCCCAAGAATCATCCTAAATGACGCTGCATGTTACATATGGCTCCTTGTGCATCCCACCAGTCTCTGTTTGTGTTGGAGTGGCCAGGGGAGGCAGCACACACATGTGTGGTGTGTGGAAGCCCTGTGCATGCCGTTTTCAGTTGGGCCATCACAGTTGCCTGAGCTAGCAGAGAGGGAGGAGGTGGCGTGCGTGCCGTGGAGGTTATTTTTCTGGCTGAAATTGCTGATGCTGTTCCCCAAGTTTACAAGTTTGTTGTAAGAGGGGAATTCTTCTCTTGGTTAACACCTTCTTCATGCCCATTTGTGTGTGCACAGAAAATCTCCATTTGAAATCCACGGAATGCTCATAAGACATGGGGATTCATATAGCACGTGTCCATCGGGGGGCTGTGCTCTTACACCCGCTTCCTACGCTTCCTAGTCCTTGTGCATAGAGAGCTGCTTGGTCCCGGGTCCCTTAGGACAGTCAGCGTCCCACAGCCCCTCCAGAATTTTCAGTGACCCCGCACTGGAGCTGGGGTTGGGACTGTGTTGGCAGACTCCCTTTATGTGAAGGTCACTGGTTGGAGTCTCAAATCTAATAACTTTGGGTAATGTACTAAGAATGAATTAAAATGCTAATAGGCTACATGTTCTGGGTATTTTAACATTCCCCTAATCTTAAATTTAAATGAAACGCCTTAGGTGCTTTCACAGCCTTGCTGGAAGCATATTTAGCATCACCCCATGGATAGCGAATTCAAAGTACATGCTAGTTGTGAGAGCACAATCTTTATTTTGTGATTTTTTTATGTGTCCTGTACCTGGCACAAGTATTCTTTCACTCAAGGTAGTAATTCTGCTTTAAAATACAACTCTCTTTTCATTTGTGTCTTTGAAACCACAGATGCCTTGATTAGTAACATTTTAATAGCTGCACATTTGCTCTTGAACTCCCAAAGCTATTCCAAAGCTCTTTGTAGATTATTTTCATGTGTAAATCTTTTTTTTAATTGAATCACTATGAGATACAGTTACAAAGCTTTCATGTTTGAGTTTCAGTCATACAAGGATCGAACGCCCATCCTTTCACCACAAGTGTCCCCAGGATCCCTCCCCCCATTCCAGCCCTCCCCCTGCCTCTGTGGCAGACAGTTTCCCCCAGACTCTCTCTACTTTTGGGCGTTATTACCACTGTGGAACATTGTGTATCATAGTAAGAACACTGGTGGCATCTTTTCTCTCACTTCTGGGCTGCGGGTGAGGGGACTGACTGTCCTTAGGCCATTGTCCAGGCACCCACTCAGGCACCTGCTTCCTGGACCATGTGGGAGCTTAGACCAAAGGAATGATGGCATTGAAGAACCAGTGAACTGAGTGCTCATGTTGGAAATGAGATCGTGCTCATTTTGACAATGACGTGAATTCTTTACAGTTGTAGTGTTAGTTGTTGTCTGCACAGAGGGTAGGATCCTTTACTTAGCAAGTTAAAAACAAACAAGAGTACTTTCTCTCTTAAGAAAATCGGGCACTTCCTAGTTATTAGTTGAATTATCCCCGTTAGAGTCTCTTGGTCAGGGAAAGGAACGCTATTTCTTCCTCAGCTCATCTGCTTATCTGGTGCCTGGTCACTTCATAATTGTGTTTGAGGAGAATAGATATTAATTTTCTTCAAGAAAAAGGCTGAGGTCCTTGATGACACGCCATAATTCAATTTCCGTTCTCTCCCTTCGTTTCCTGCACCTCTTCCTCCTGGCACATTTTTCACAGTTAGGAGGAGTGATGGTGTCAAATATATCAGAAAGAAGAATTGATTCAGTAGTAGTTTGACGACTTGACTGATTAACAGAGATCAGGAAAAGTCTCATAACTGGAAACCGCGGCAGCATGGAGTTTTAACAGCTCTTCGGGGAGCTAGTTAATGAGAGAATTTCTGCAGAAACACCACCCTCCAAAAGGAAGGAAAGACAAAGAGCAGGAACGTCCCTGCGTAACGCAGAGACTGTGTCAAAGGAGGAAATATGTTCATAATTTCTGTTTACACACTGCTGTAATTACTGTCTGCTGAAGATTACTCTAGTCTTCTCCTGTCAAAGTTGCTTAGATATTTCCTTTTTCACTATCAGGCATAGAGGGCTAGTGCTGGTTGGAACTTGTCCTGAGGATTGTTCTTTTTCAGAGGAATGTAATGATCCAGTGCCAAGCGCCTGATGCCTGGCTAGGCCGACTTTGATCAGATCCACGTCCTTCACCATTTATCACCGTTGCCATTTGTGCATGAACTAAACTTCTGCATTCTAGGGAATGTTTAGTTGGAATTTAGACTTTAATTGTGTGTCTGTGGTTGTTCTCTTTTCTTTCTCTTAATGTAGTGTCTATGAGCCAGATAGAAATGTGTTACGAAGGAAAGAACGAGAAAGAAGAAATCAGGAAACTCAACAGGATGATGGCACCTTCAATTCAAGTTATTCTCTCTTCAGTGAACCCTACAAGGTAATTGTTTTCAGTTGTTTATCTACCCTGAATTCATACCTTAACTCATATACCCATGGAAGCACCCATGTATTTTTTGGCCGACTTAACCAGCGGTCCTCAGGGCTTACTCCTCACTCTGCTCCCAGGGATTACTCCCAGTGGAACTTGGGGTGATGGGGAATGAACCTGGGTCAAATGTTCCAGGAAAGCATCCTTCCTTCTGTGCTCTGTCTCGGGCTCTTCAGGGAGCAGTCCTGACCCCGTGAGTGCTTGGCTCAGAGGAGTGGCCCAGCCTCTGAGTCTGGGGTCTCTCTCCCCCAACAAACATTCATGTTCATATGGATATATTGCCTATTCCCTTGGTAAAATGTAATTTTTGTTTAATATTGATACGTCTTGCTGTGATATTTGTCAACAGTATAGATTTGATCTTTGCATAGATTTTAAAGTCAACACATTTATTATGCTCTCTAACCTATTATGGAAACACACCATTACTAAGAGCTCAGCTTGCATATTTGTCATATATGGATAATGCTGGGCCATGATTAGGCTGCAGTTCCTCATGAGCAACTTTCAGGTCATCTCTAAGCGATACCAGATATCAGAAATGCATGTTCCTTTCCAAAACAAGATATCCCCCAGATACTACGATCTTAAATTGCTTCTTAGACTTTCAGCTTTTAAACTTTAACTTTTCTTTTCCTTCACTCTGGGTTTGTGACAGTAATAATTTTAGATTTAGAAATTGGAAGCATCATAATTTGAGTCCAGTAATTTATAAGAAAGTCCTCAATGCAACCGTAAAAACAGAAACATCAGGAAAAAAATCCTAAAAAACGAAACATAAACTATTTAATGAAGGTGCAATAGTAAGTTTCCTGGTTTCTGTAGCTCTGTGGTAACAAGATAGCAAGGAGAAATGCCCATGTTCATGGACACCAGGCTCACGAGAAGCTGATTCTTCTGTGCTGTGGAGGGCTGTCTCACGTCTTTCGAGCAGTGCCTGTTTTCCTTTCCATGCTCAGTTTCCATTCTGAGTGTGGCGACCCTAGCTCTGTGGCTGAGGAAGGCTCCTCTTCATCACTCCCGTGTTTCCGTTATCTCTAACACTGTGTGGATGTTGTCTTTTTATTTCTCCAGACTAACAAAGGGGATGAACTCTCCAATCGGATCCAGAACACGTTAGGCAATTACGATGAAATGAAGGACTTTTTAACTGATCGGTCTAATCAGAGTCATCTTGTTGGTGTTCCTAAACCTGGCATTCCTCAGACTCCTGTGAACAAAATCGATGAACATTTTGCTGCAGATTCAAGAGCCCCACCCCCACCCCCATCAGTTTGTAGCACCGCATCTTCCACACCAGCAGCTGTCCCCGTGCCACAGAGTAAAAGGGGCACCATGGGCTGGCAGAAGACTGGGCACCCACCTTCTGATGGCCAACAGAGAGCAAGTAAGCATGGACACAGGTTGCTTGATTTGCACAAATCTGCTAACCCAAAGAACCATGATAAACAATCGAATCACTGTGTGTCAAGCCTGTCATCCTCATCCTCCTCTTCTTCTTCTTCCAACTCAGCGCAACAGGGTTCTCTCAGGACCTTGCTTGGAGATGGTGTTGGCAGACAGCAGCCGCGGGCCAAACAAGTGTGCAATGTAGAGGTGGGTCTGCAGACCCAGGAAAGGCCACCTGCCATGGCAGCCAAGCACAGAGGCGGAGGACACTGTGTCCAAACCTTTCCTCCATCCCTGGCTTCGAAACCCAGCCTGGTCCAACAGAAACCGACTGCGTATGTGCGGCCCATGGACGGCCAAGACCAGGCTCCTGATGCGTCTCCAAAGCTTAAGTCACCCTCGGAAACCAGCATGCACTGCACTCCGTACAGGGGCCTTCCAGCCGCCAAGCAGGAGTCTGCCAGAGCCAAGGCCAGGCTGGCCAAGTTCAGCATCCCCAAACAAGGCGAGGTGAGTCTTTTTTTCAGTCTGGCTTACACACCTCTGAGTAACTGAGTGACTTGGATGGAAAATTTTGTTCTCAGGATTCTTTCATTCTGCAGCTCTCTTCCTGTGGTAGGACTTATAGCAATGACTAACTGAACACACAAATAATGAGCTCTCAGAGCACCAAAGTGATATGATCAAAACATTCAAAGTTTGAAAAAACACAGCTGTGCGTTCCTGATTTCCAAAAGGAATACCTTTTTCAGCACAGTTCCAGGTATGCTTTGTTTTGGTAGTTTCAGTGAGGCTTTTTTTGATGGTAAAGGTAAAGGTAAAGGGCTGGAGCGATAGCACAGCGGGTAGGGAATTCGCCTTACAAGCGGCCAACATGGCCGACCCGAGTTCGATTCCTCCGTCCCTCTCGGAGAGCCCGGCAAGCTACCGAGAGTATTCGATATGCCAGACACAGTAACAACAAAGTCTCCAATGGAGACGTTACTGGGCCCGCTCGAGCAAATCGACGATCAACGGGAGGGCCTTTTTTGATGAATAAATCAATTTTTTATGGGGATATTATATATTAAAAGTACTTCAAAGGTTGCAGTTTTTGGTATTGTAAGGAGGTTAGTTTTTATGTAAACAGACTTAAGCTCATTGTTCTAAAAGTTGTTTTTTGGACCACATCTGGCAGCGTTCAAGGATTCCCCCTGGCTCTTTTCTCAGGGATCACTCCTACTGGCACTGAGGGGACCATATTCGTACCAGAGACCAAACCTGTGTCAGCCACTTGCAAGGCAAGTGCTCTAATCACTGTACTATCACTCTGGCCCCTCAGTATTTATTTTTGAAATCTATTTAGAAATTTTCTAAGACAGACTTTTACAAAGTAAACCATAATTATGCATAATAATGATGTCAGAATCATCATTGAAAATCATTGCCGATGACTAATAGTCACTGTCACTGTCACTGTCCTCCCGTTGTTCATCGATTTGCTCGAGCGGGCCCAGTAACATTGTGAGACTTGTTACTGTGTTTGGCATATCTATGTCACGGGTAGCTTGTCAGGCTTTTCCGTGTGGATGAGATACTCTCAGTAGATTGCCGGGCTCTCGGAGAGGGGCGGAGGAATCCGACTCAGGTTGGCTGACCCGGCTGCATGCAAGGCAAATGCCCTACCCGCTGTACTATCACTCCAGCCTAATAGTAAGTGATTATTTGAATTATTAAATTATTCAGTGTTGAATATGGTGAAGGTTCAGATTTATCAGCTGTTCCACCCACTTCAAAATAATAGGGGTCACATTCATTTGTCTTAAGTATGCACCATCCATGTCCTTTTAAAATGATTCTAGAGTATGAAAAAGTATGAATATGAAAAATTGTAACTTTTTGTTTTGTTTCTTCTGGTTTGTGCTTTGATTTTATTTAAAAAGTATTATTGTTGCATTAGAGAATATGTTAACTGGCTATATGGAATAATAGAATTCTAAACAAGAAAACCACATTACCGCAGAGATTAGTATAAAAGCTAATCCAAAGTGACTAGTACTTGGAGAGCAAACATAGATAGAATATGAAGTTTTATTTCGGAGAGTCACATTGACTATATTACAGATTGATGCCAGTTTTCTAAAGCACAAAAAGGAAAATATGACTGCATAGTTTTGTTCTGTGGTGATATGGATTATAATTGGAATAAACTGTAAATTATAGATCACGGTATATGAGACAGGGTTGATTTTTCTTTTACATATTAACATGATGGCCAGTGTGTACCACTAGTGACTCACACTTGAATGTGGTTTAATTACCATAAACTGCAGTGCTGGCCTCAGCCTGCTAGGGCTGGAGTAATAATGTGCCCATGGAATTCTTTGTATTTTCATTTCATTTAATGAGCAAACGAGAAAGTGGTTTGACATTTCTTGTATGACAAAGGTTTCTGAATTGTATTTTCATAAATCTCTGTCTGCCACTTGGGACATCAACATATTAGTCTCACAGAAGAGTTAATATTTTACTTTAAGTTGCTTACACAGATTCTAGTGATGAAATTATGTGATACATAGACTAGTAACTTCTTTTGGATTTTTGTGGGGGGAGTAATACCTGGTAGTGCCCAGGTTTTATTCGTGGCATCACTTGGGGTACCGTATAGGGGGTGAAGGATCAGACCGGCGCCTATGGACAAGGCAGGCACCCAACCCACTCTGTTATCTTTCTAACCCCTGGTCTAGTAACTTCAACTAGAAATTTATAGATGTGAAATGTGCCAATTGCAAATATTTAAGGTTTTCAAAGTTTCTAGGAAGCGCATATAGATACCACCTTACAAAAGCGAATTCATCAAGCTTTTTAAAATGCTTTGCTTGGGGCTGGAGCAATAGTGCAGTGGGTAGGGCTTTTGCCTTGCACGCAGCCAACCTGGGTTCAATCCCCAGCATCCCTTATGGTCCCCCGTGCACCACCAGGAGTACTTCCTGAGTTCAAAGCCAGGAGTAACCAACCCCTGAGCATTGCCGGGCATGGCCCAAAGAGCAAAAAAAAAGCTTTTCTTATGAGAAATACGGTAATTTGAAACTTGTTAGCACTTGTGTGTTTAGTAAATTTACTCTCACAATTTGTACCTTAATCTTAGTTAATTACCAGTGGGCTACTATGTGTAAATTGTATATGTTATTCTTAAAACTCCAAGGATTTTACGAATATAAACCATATTCCAGGAGAATAAGAAATGCCATTTTGCAAGTACATCATTCATTAATCTATAGGAAATTCCTCTGAAGTTCATGATCATAACATAAACTCTGAAGAATTTTATCAATTCTAAGGCTTTTACTCTTTCTGGAAGAAATACTTGGTTTGAATTTTTGGAAAAGATAAAATAATGCAAAGTAGAAAACGATGAAGAAGATATTAATGACTGTATTTTTACACAGATTCCACTATTTGAAAGTTTCTTTCAGTACTGACGCTGATTTCCAGAGAGATGGGGAGTATGTTCTTAAGGGAAATGTGTAGAGGAAAGGACATGAGGGAAGACGCATCTCTTTACCAACACCTCTTCAGAATGTCAGTCAGAGGGCAAGAGATGAAGACCTTGGTGGCTAAAACACAACATAGAGACAAGGAAGTTGAACGCCTGACCATGTAGCATTCAGTGAGCACATTCTTCATATGAAAATCATTTTAATTTTTAGTGTAATCTGATGCAAGAAATTTTGAAAAATGAGGATATCTGCCTCCAGAAAATTTACATGAATTTAATAAATTAGAACGTAGCACTTAGTTTTAAATCTGAAATTTATTTCTTAGTCCAAACTAAACAAAAAAATTGGCCCCCTCTACCCTGGGAAAATTCCCTTGCCTTCTTAATCCTTGGAGTACAAAAATATTTGTATTTGAAAATTTGGGAATTTATCATGTCTTTTGCCTGATTTTAGACGTCATATTCTCTGTTCTTTCCCTCACAACATCTGCACTCTCTCTGCTGCCATGGCGAATTATTTGTTTTTATTCTTTAGTCTTCAATAATAGGTAATTAGTATAGAAAGATTCAGTGCAATTCAATGTGGAAGTTAAAGACCTCAAGGGGATTTCTTAACTGATACACCTGCCTCTTGGCTGGTTTTTCCCAGTTCAGTTTTGTGTTTAATGAAACACATATTTTTGTTGTTATAGCTGAGCCTTTTATTCCGGATGTCAACCCCTCATTAACGGATCCTTCTCTGGAGTGCCACTTGCAGAAGTGGTTACTTTAGGTGAGAGACACAGGCTTAATGAGCGGTGGAAGAACACTGTTGAAACAGTCCCTTCCAGGGCAGGACACAGTCTTATTTTTAGTTGATTTATTTTTTGTTCCACCTGTAAAAATTATTGTGTTTTGCTCTTAACGTATAATTCAGGATGCAGATATAGGGACTGAGAGCTTACAAGAGGCAGCTATAGATTTTGTGAAACCCGGGCTCCCCCCCACCCCGTCTTGGGGGTGATATCTCATTAAGGAAAAAAATTACCTTACTCTGACAAATTTTTCAAACACAGGCACTATATTAGCACATTGCTTACCCCTCATGGAGCCTTGGAGAAATTCCTGCTTGAGATGCCCAGAAGGATCAGAGCACTAGTGCCCTGGTGTCTTCCTGTATCTGTCTTTGGCTGATTTAATATGAAGAAATGTTATTAAAATAACAAATTTAGATATTAAAGCCATCTAGATCAGAAAAGAAGTCAAATTCTCACAATGTAGAGATGGCATAATACTATAGAAAATTGTAAAGATCCCACAGAAAAGCTATTTGTTTTGAGGGGGCCACACCCAGGAGTGTTCATGTCTTAATCCTGGTTCTGTGCTCAGATATCACTCCTAGTGGACTCAGGGACCATATGTGTTGCTGGGGATTGAAACCAGGTTGAATGCGTGCAAGGCAAGTGCTATAGCTCTAGCCCCAGAAAAGCTTCTAGAAACAATAGTCTTGTACCCTAAAGTGGCAGACTACAAAATCAGTGCGCAAAAACTCACGACTTTTCTGTATGCAGATTGGCTGGAGCGATAGCACAGCGGTATGGCGTTTGCCTTGCATGCAGCCAACATGGCCGACCCGAGTTCGATTCCTCCGCCCCTCTCGGAGAGCCTGGCAAGCTACCGAGAGTATCTCGCCCGCACGGCAGAGCCTGGCAAGCTCCCCGTGGTGTCTTCGATATGCCAGACACAGTAACAACAAAGTCTCCAATGGAGACATTACTGGGCCCGCTCGAGCAAAATAAAATATAAGTGAGGTAAATAAAATATCCTATTCACAATTGTGCTTCAGAAAATCAGGTACCTAAGAATCTACTTAATAAAAGAGTTAAAAGATTTATACAATAAAAACAATGAAACATTACTCAAAGAAATAAAAGGGGAAAATAAGAAATGAAATACATCCCCTGCCTATAGATGAGAAACATTAATATTGCTAAATGAAAATCCTCCCTAAAGCATCAGACGTATTCAGTGAAGTCACCATTAAAAAGTACCC